GAATGCTGAATTTGACATAAAAAATAAATATAAAAAACATAGTTTGATATTTGAACTTATTACTTGTGTTTTATGTACTTATTAACACTTATAATTTACTTGGGTTGTAAAGATAACTTCCAATTTATTTATTACTATTTATTTTTAACTTTTATAATAATGAAGATAGGTCCCAAGTGGTCCATGCACTCCTAAACTTAACCTAAGTTTGCGGGCCTGTAGAAATCTCTTTGGCTAACATTGATCTACACCTCCACTAGAAATCTCCACAGCCCTCATCTCTTTCTTCTTTATCATCTCTCGCAATTTTGTCCCATTTAGCATAAAGTTTTTGCTATAGCTTTATAAATTAATTATTTTTCTCCTTCTTTCCTTTCTTACTTCACAATGACAGATTTAAGGAAGTATCCTGGAAAAAAGTGTTCCACTCTCCTTGGACGAAGTATTTCCAGACACCTTCAATGTTAAATATTTCAAGTGATTTTATCTAATAAGTAATAAACAAATATTTGTCAGTGTTATTAATTAAATATGTATTTGAATACATATTTGTATAAATAATATTTTTCCTTTTGGCTACCTTTGTCAGATAAATCTCAACCCTCAATATTACATTTTTTTAAATTTTCTGAAGGTCCCAATCCCAAAGGTCTCAATTCCTTTAAGAGATTGTCAGTCTAACTGGAACGACTTATTAGTCCCCATTTGTCACATTCTTCTCTGATCTTACTGAGCTTATAATTCATTTCCATATTTCCTTTAGCCAAAATCACCTCATCATCTGAAAAATTGACGGTAAAGAACTGGTTGATACCAACAAGCCCTCTTTATGTCACTGCACATCCTATAATTTTTTTGACCCTCCAATCAAGTATACATTTGAGTAGATTCGGATCTCTGCCCTTTCAATTTAATACTTTCTTGTGGGGACCCAAACATATTATCTCCATTAGTCATATATCACAGTTCTGGCCTACAAAACCCACACATTGGTTATTTGTTTCAATCATTGTTACTGGTGCTAGCTCATTTCTTCAAAAGTTGATGATTTACAAAATTATAGTGGGATGGTGCAGATGGTATTTGACCTTCACTTTGGACATCTCTGCTTTAATTTGTCATCACCTTTCAGTAGCTTAAGGTAATGAGTGCGGGCCCACCTGCAAACCTTTTACCTAGGCCTGCTTTATAAAAGTGTATTACAAACATAACTAGCCTTAGTACCTAAAATAATAAAATATCCCCATAAATGGGCCATCTTTTACTTCGGCCTGCCCGCATCGGCCCTTCAGGCCCGAATGTTTAAGCGTTTGGCACTGCCACCTTTGCTTTAGTGTTTTGACTCCCAAATAAGAACTTGGAAGTAATCACCAGAACAGCTGAATTCATGAGGATATTCTGTCACAACACAGATTTGCAGTTATGCAAAAAACTTATGTTGCAATTATAATACATGAAAATTCAAAGGAATTTATCTCACAATGAACAAGTTGTTCTTGCTATTAATTTCTACAAGAGTTTGAAATATGTGACAAAACTTTTGATGTAGTATGCAACTAAACAGTATTATTTTCTTTTCAATTTGTTTTAATTTAGTAAAATTGAAGGTGGATAATTACAATGGGAAGATTGAATCTTTATTTTCATAAACCTGTATCAGGCATGGATCCATGAGGGGACAAATGAGGAAAATTATCCTTCCCCCAAATTTTTCTGTAACTATTAATTTTAACTTGTCATGAAACTTTCAAGCAAAAGTATTTTCAGATAATCATTAAAACAAATAAAATCATATTGCAATATGTGCTGAGTGTAGCCTGCGATATTTTACAAAATCTGTAATATTCGACCAAAACATTTTAATTTCCCCTCTGAAAATTTGTCTCTCGATCTGCCCCTGCTTGTATTATTACATAAAGTGAACATTTTACTCAGCTTTTTGTAAAATTTACTAAAAACATGTGTTCACAAGTATTTGAGGTTCTATTCAATGGTAGAGATTTGTGTTCAAGACCATCATGTATCTTTGAACACTTTCCTATACTTTAGTTTTTCTTTGAAAAAGGTATAGAAAATGTGTTTTATCTGTCATTCATTTAATGGAATCACTTCACATACTAAAAATATTTCTTTAGAAAATTATAGACTTTGAAAACAGGAGAAAATAAAATAAAAATGATTTATACTTAAAATACTAAAATGCTCAAAGATTCATGTGTTCAATAATTATGTTAAAAACCTTTTTTGATTTATGCATCAGATTTTTCTGTGGTGTTCAACTTAATTCTTTGAGATGGTATTCTTATCGATTGTTCCTTTAATTCCTTCAACAGAATCCCAAATCATAGCCAATCAGTGCCAAAATCATATTCATTACAGGAAAATGATTTGATTGCATAAATTATATTGTTCTCTTTCATTTAACAATAATGTAATTGAATGGTAGATATATTATATTGAACTTTTATTTAATTTCACTGTTTGCTATATCACATGCTGTAAGTAAATGTGAAAAAACAATTAAAAAACTTACAAATAGTTGTAAATCCAGTTAAGTTTCTCAATGAATAAAAAAGAAAAAATGGGTCAGAACACACTTGAGATGGAGTAACAATTTTAACTATAGATAGTTTCTTGTGAATGAGATACTCATATTGTATGAATAATATTAAATGTTATCAATACTTTATTGAGTGTTACTAGTGTCTGCTCATTACTTTAAAAAATAGGGGTTTAGAAAAATGGCAGTATGATGGCTCAATTGTCTCTGTCAACAAACCCAGCTGTACACAAGGCACTTCACTTCTATTCTTTCACAGGGGTGGATTATTGTATTAACATTAGGAAACTAAGCATATACTTAATGTCCCTGTTGCAAAGGGGACCCCAATAAATTTTTAAACAAAATTTTATATTGCTTTGAAAATAAAGTATACAAAATCTTTTATATTGTTTTTATATTTGCAAAATGTATGGTTTATTTTCATTTTAATGATCATATTATGTTCAATATTTAAATCCTATCAGGGGTTCTATAATTTTGTAATGTTGAGGTTCCCTCCCTCAGTTTTTTAATTGTTAATTACATTTCACAATAATGTTGATGACATGAGTCAATGAAAATAAGAATTCATGAACAAATTTTCAGAAGCTTCAGTTATATAATTGGAATTTGGTCAGGATTGTGTCATCTGGTATTGAAATGTAAATATAACATTATATTTATAGGAATAGTTCATGGGTGTTGGTCATTTTCTAGTTTCCAGTTTCCTCCTAGTTTCTCAATGTTTCAGAACTTTATTTTTCAAGGCTATAGAACACATAATTGCACTATTACCACATAGATATGTTACAGAATTAGATAGAATCAATAGAGAGAGAGAAAAAAAACAAACAACTGAGTTATTGTAAATGAAAAAGAAAAGGAAGCACCACCAATTCAAAAAGTATAACATATAATGTATTATATCATCCTCAGTGTCATCAACATCTTCAAAACAATAAGAAATTGCAACAATAATGGCAGTAATGAATGTGAAGCTTTAAATAATTGATTAGATCATTCAACTTCAGTGAAAAAACAATGTACAGAATTGTATATTCTTTTGTAAATTAAAAAGGAAATGTACAGTGATTGTTAGGAAGTGCACAGAGTAAATAGTCAGAAATAAAAATTTAATAACTACCCATGGAATATTTATTGTACAGAATTTCATTACACAACTAGATTTTGAAGTAAAAATTATTTATTTTCTTTCAGTCTTTTTATAAGTACTATACACAACAATACAACTCTCCAAAGAAGATATAAAATATGTAAATGTACATAAAACATCAAATCTGAAAAAATGTACCAGAATATAACCAGAAAACTAACTTTTGCTCTAAGGAAATAGTTATATTAAGTGGAATTAAATTTAACAATTTTTTTTTGTTTTTCAAATATTAAAAATTTAAATCACTGGCATTTGTAAATTTCTGTCAAAGATAACTATATCTATATCTTATATTGAGAAAGAATGTCTTGGTATTGTCCAGGAGCACCCAAAGAAAACCAGGGTCTGGGGCAGTTGATCCACGGGGGCCCCCTTATTTCAAACAAAATATTCCCTTCTCCCTCAATTCATTATTAGAATTCATTTTCCATGCATCAGACACAACTTAGTGTGTTAAATTTCGATTAAAGATAAATATATTTTTCATTTGTTTTGAATGAAAAAATAATTGGGGCACCAATTAAGACGGGGCCTAGGACAAAGTGCCTCAGCTGTCCCCCTTCTGGACGCCCCTGTGATGTTCCTTTCAACGACTTGACTGGACTTGACCAACTTGATGACTTGATTTCCAAAAACGCATCTTATCTTCTCGATTCGAACTACGCAAGAACTACGTAGGGGATTCAGAGACATCTGTCGGCCCTATTAAGAAGCGTTTAGAAATGTTACCAACTGTGCCTTTTTAACACCATTGTTGGTCTTACACAACTAAAGTGGAGGCCAGGAGGAGGCTTCCTTCTATTATTTCTGGTTGATTCCATGGAAATTTCTACGTTGCTCTCGTGACTCCTTCAAATGAAGTTATTGTAAACGTCTTATTAATTATTTGATTTTGTTGAGAAGGTAGGGGACAGTAAATTAAATTAAGCACCCCCCCCAGAAAAAAGGTACCAGAGCAAACAAGATGTAAGAAACTTCCAGCATGAGAGCAAATTTAAATATTGGGATACAATTAAAAATTATAGACATTAACAATTTAAAAGCGTTTGAAATTAATGAAGCAAAATTGAATTAGAACAATGATTATATTATTAAGAAGTGGGTTCAACATATCTTAAGTGTGATTTGAGAGAAGGAATGGAAGTTTGTAAATCATTACAATTATGTAAATAACAATTAAGAGCACAATATCTTCCGTTAAATAATATTCCAACACTTTCCTTTCTAGATTTTTTTATGCATTCTAAATTTGTTGCTGTTCACCATATTATTATGTCTTTTTATTTTTTGGCCACTTTTGAGACGTTTTCACTGTCGAATTTTTTCCGAATGTTATACCATTTTTTAGCAAGTATTCCATTAATTTTGAAACCCTTCAGAAGAATTTTCTACACTGCAGACTCCTCTGATGACATTTGAAACATTGGAAAAGACAACATCATACTACATATATGATATGATTTCAACTTGGAATGCCGAAAGAAGCAACTTCGAACATTTAAGTGATTTTTAAGGCGTTGAGTTTGCGGCGCAGGTTTGACATCGCTCTCGCGAAAAAAAAATCTTACTCAGTTCGCTATTCAATATCGTGAAGGTCACCGACTGAAAGTGCAACCTTTACTGTGAGGTTATGCTGCCTGTGCCGGTTCTTCGAGTATTGTCATTCGGGTCTGTGAGGCTTGGCGAGAAAGTTATTGCTAGAGGTATACACTTGTCTCGAGCAACAATGGGTATTCAGGTAATTTGTCAAAAGTTGTTAGTTTATTAGTTAAGCGTAAGAACTCATGAATGTTAGATAATTACTATCAACTAGATAAAGTAAAAATTATCAATACTGAGTTTATACTAATGGGCGGCATGGATACGCTTCGTATATTTATTACAAGTATTGCATGTTAGTGATCAGTGTGATATGTCAACACTAAACGGTGTCCAAATACCCCGGAACAGTGTTCAGGAATAAAAATTTATGAATCAATTTTAATCTATTAAGTCGTGTTAAGTTTGTCACGTATTTTCATGAAATTAATTTTTTGTTTAGGTTGGAGATAAAATCCCTAGTGTCGAACTTTATGAAGATAATCCAACAAATAAGATTAATATTGCACAACTTTGTGAGGGCAAGAAGGTGATCGTATTTGCTGTTCCAGGAGCTTTTACGCCCGGTTGCTCGAAGGTTAGTACTTTTTATTAGCGTGTTTGTACGTTCATATTCAGTGTTAATTGTTTACAATAAGCTATCTTGATGCACCTTGATAGTATTAATTGTATCATTCTTTTTCTAAAGTATGGAATACTAGTCATGGGTTTTGGAAAATCTGTGACAGAAACAATTAGTCTATTGCATGCACAAAGACTATTTTATTTTAAATGACATGGATTAGGATCAAATACAGGATCCTATCAAGTGTTCAAAACATTAATTCTTGCCATTAATGTCTGTAGACACATCTTCCTGGATATGTTGAACGAGCTGATGAATTGAAGAAAGGTGGTGTTTCTGAAGTTATTTGTGTGTCTGTTAATGATCCATTTGTTATGGATGCTTGGGGCAAAGAACACAAAGTGTCTGGAAAGGTAAGTGTCTGATTGATTGGGTTTCTTGCAAGTGGAGAAATTACTAAAATTGTTTGATGAATATTCTGTTTGACAAATATTCTTGGGGGCAAAAAGAGAAAGTTTACATATTATTAACTTTGTTTCATGTTAAACATCTGCAAAATAGGAAGAAAATAATTTAGTAAAGAATCCTTTAGCAAAATACAACCATGTTAATGGAAAGAGATGTCAAAGGGAAATCCTACAATGTTATTCTGTTTTACATCATACACTAACAAACTGGTGTACAAATGATGACAGATGTATACTTAAGTTTCAAAATGCTGTAATTGTATTTAGCAACATTTATATTAGTAGAGGTCTCAAGGAAAAATAAAAAGTTGATTATTGTAGAGGAGTTTATATAATTTACAATTTGAAAAAGTTTTGGTTTTTCATGAGAAAAAATGGTTACTAGCAACACAAGGAGGAATATATTTGTGAACTTGTGTATTAAATTTATGTAGTACAATGTGGATTAAGATCCGAGATGAAGTAAATGTGTAGGTATGGAACTTTATCTCGGCGCTCTCTATCCTGCATTGTTTCAGGAAACATAATGTCTGAAATAATTTCCCATTAGGTAGATTGTGTCATTTCATATGTGAAGAAGTATAAAGTTATGTTCATTTTTTTTTATATTAATGAATTTTATTTGGCTTTATTATGGTCTTAATTATTATAATCACTAGAAATGTGAGCAAAAGAGGTCGTGTCACCTTTCTACATTCATGCTCTCTGAGGAAGTGTCAAATTTTCAATTGCATATGAATCCTCTTCTAGATGTTGCTTAATTTCTTGGTATCAATTTTCTTGCTTTTGTTTTATCCTACCTTATGATACTCTGGGACAGAATTTTCTTCATAAATTTAATTTGAGAACACACTCATTATGATGAAAGAAATATTTTGTTATTTTTTATAGTGCTAGAAATTTCATGAGATCATTTCTTTTTACAGATTCGCATGCTTGCTGATCCTTCAGCAGCATTTGCAAAAGCAATTGATTTGACCACTAATTTGCCCCCTCTTGGTGGAGTAAGATCAAAGCGTTACTCAATGGTGGTAGAAGATGGAGTTGTTCGTCAGTTAAATGTAGAACCTGATGGAACAGGTCTTACCTGCTCCCTTGCTGATAAATTGAAGCTTTAAAATAATCGTTCAGCTTAAACGAATAAAATGGAGTGAATCAACAAAAGTTGAAGAACATACTCGAGCAAACTTAAATTCTATCAGTTTATTAAAGCTATGTAATCAATCCTTTAATAGGGATCTTGAAAAGTATGCATAAGGGAAGTTGTAAGAGATGTATTCTGTTGTAATTAAAATAAATTACAATTAAAAGGTGTTTTATTGTCAAGTTTAGTATTCTTGCTCTCCAAACGTACCCCATCATAATTACTAGAAATACATAGTTTGCAGTATTTTAAGAAATATCATTGTCGATTAGAGATTTGTATCATCGGTCATAAATTTGAGTAGTTTCATTGCGTTGATAGCTACGGTACACACGTTAATGTACTATTGTCGGAATAAATATAAATTTGTCAAACGCGAAGTCTGGTGAAATGCGCTCCAATGCACCGACGAGTCGGCAGTGTTTTGTTAGAACGTTGATGCCCGTGTGACCGCTAGGCAGCAGCATTGTTTTAATGGACATTACCATATGGCAGGTAGCGTCAACTGTGCGGTAACCTTACCGTGTGAAGAAGACTTCATTTATGGAAAATAAATTGCAATGGACAACAATGGGCATTGACAGTGAAAGAATTCCATTAATGGGAAATAGTGTGTGAATAATCGACATTTTTTAATAAACTTTAGTCGCATTCGAGGATGGTGTGGACTTATGTTGTGCACGTAACTGTGAAAAATTGGTGAAATTAGAATTTTTAAAAGAAGATAATGAGATTATGGCTTCATTTCACCGTCCGATGTTGTTAGTTGGCATTCTATTATGCCTCGCCTGCTCGTTGTCACTCACAAAATTACTTCTGTGTGTATTTGCTGAAGGTAGCCCAGGAACTGGAGACAAATCAGAAGTGGATATATGGCTTGAAGAAAACGAGTTACGCCAGTACAAAAGTATCTTCAAAGAGCACGGTAAGATATTTTATAATTTCCTTTCGGCAGTTTTAACAGCAACATTAAATAAAATTTAGAAAATGTATTTATGCAGACAATCCGCTGTGCACATATTTATGTTAGTATGTTCATATGAATATATTGACGAGAGGAACTATTTTGTAAAGATATTGTCCCCCAGACATTAATATAACATCTGGGAGATTTATCTTTGTTATCAAGAAGTTATCTTCCAAAATAACAGGTGTCTGGTTCCTGTTGAACCGTGTTCACTGTCATTCACTCCCCATGATTTGTTGAATTTGGTGAGATTCTAGTAGCATTATTTAATAATTGCTATTGAAGGATGTAAACAATCGTTTAGGTTATGTTTCCGGAGTGTACATGAAAGAAAGATAATTGATTAACAAGGTTTGTTCTTGAAAATTAGAACTACCACTAAATGTTTTCTTATTTGTTCGGTCTGTATCATTTATTAAATTTTACTTTGAAGTCGCATGAAATGCTAGTCAATAAATAAGGTTTGTTGACGAGTAAAAATAATAGTACCCATATCTTATTTATAATATATTGACGCATCAGTGTCATTGGATTTAAATTTAAAAAAGGACACGGTTTTGCGCTGAAATTACTTGTAGAGCTACTTTGTTGGCAGTGACATCTTTACACCAGTTCGCTGTCAGACGGCCCGGGAAAATCTCAGCTGGGTGATTCCGGGAGCGTTTTTGTTGTGGTTGCGTAGGTGGCGCCAAGTGCTTCGACGGCGCTGCGAGACACTTTTACCGCGGAGATTAGAACAAGGGATCTGCAGATCGCATTTTCCGCCAGATGCCATCGTACAGAAATTTTATCAACCCAGATTTAAATTAGGTTCCATCATGATTGTTCTATTTTCAGGGATGAATGAATGCGTAAGTGGACTCACCACGTGGTTGGGGACCTCCAGTATTTTTGAAAAAAAAAAGTTAATAACTTTACTATTGTTTAAAACATTTTTTTTAAATCGCCAAGGGTATGATTTCATGATGGGAACAGGCCTGGGGAGTCAGGAATTGTGAACACGTGAAATTTTGTTCGTCGAATAATTTAATATTGGATTCGTGTCAAAAGTACCTTGCACTACAAAAGTCGTTTTGTAACATTATTGTTGAGCTTACTAATGTAAATGTACACTAAAGGGTCACAAACGGCACTGTCTGCGCGAGCGGAGTGGACAGCGGCCAGCCTGAATCTGAATTAATAAAGGCTGCAGTAGAAAATAGTCAAATAGCAGGCGGCCTACCATGGCGTAACAGACTTTAATTTGCGTCGGACCGCTGACAAATGTGAGGTAAAATTTTTGTGAGAGTTTCCGATGGAATCCCTAAAATTCCTTCGTCCCTGTGGGTCTCTTTCAGCGGCGGTCTCTTTTAGTGATCATATCGATATATCCAAGGTTCTCCGAATTTTCGAAAATAAGTCAAATACATCCCCCAAAGAAATTGAGTTCCACATCAAGGGCTGAAGAAATTCATCTAACTCCTCTTTCTCTGATTAGTTATTCAAGTACTTTTTCGCCTTTCTTCATCTGACAGATCGTTCAGGAGTTCACCGAGGAATTAGTGAACTACTTTTAAAATATTTGCAAGTATCAAAAGAAAAAAGCAGCGACCACATCTGCTTCGCTCTGAATTGCAAGCGTTGTTGTGGCATTGCCGTGGCGGGCTGCCATCGCTCCCATTCGACAGTTTCATTTCTGTTTGGCAGGTCCTCAAAGGCTTAGAAGTAGAGCGAAAACATATGATTATTTTCAAACAAAAATGCAGACTTTTTAATCAAATCGTTTTTATCTCAAATATATTAATAAAGTACTGAATGTATTGAACTGATGAAATTTAGATTTAAACGTTTATTCTTTGGACATTTTGTAGCCCGTAATAATTATGAAAACACATAATTTCTTGTTAATGTTTTGTGGTCACAGATGCAGACATATGTGACATGTTTTTTGTGATTATCTTGATGTTAAATATCTTTAAAATATTCTTTAAAATTATTATAAGATTTAATATTTAGTTAATACAACTGAAATTATATAAACAGTATGTTAAAATTGTAGCCATTAGATTTCTCACTTATATTAGTGAGACCATTTATATTTTTTATATAGTCAATACAATATATACTCTTTTCTGAATTTGGAGTACACGATTTCATAAATCACAACATGATTTCGTGTTGTATAGCATTTCAATATTCTTTCTACATTTGAAGATTTATACCGATGGTGGGGATCAGGATTAATTTATCACTACTAGATATTTCTTCTCTCTTTCCCTTTTTTCTTTTTTTCTTTTTCAAATTATATGCACATTTTACATTTTGACGTAGTACTCTCTTTTGTCTGTTGGGTATTTGTAATGCGCGAAACGTTTTTGTATGACCGCATCACTTAGCTCATTAGTAAGAATTGTAACTTAGACTTAATTTCTTACCAATAAAAAATAATTATCTCATGCGAATTATTGTTCAAGAATCACGTACGCATTACCATTGAATTCAACGAAGTCTTGCGCGTAACACAATGAATGCATTGTGTAACGAGACTTCACTCAGCAAAGGTACGATTCCTACGCAGAAAACAGCTTGTTGCTTTACCATTACTGTAAAATTCATTCTGTCGCAGGTCTCTTAATAAATTTAAGGTGAATTTAGTACTTTCTCACATTTTACCTAATTTAACGTCAGTTTCTCCAAGGGAGGACGTATAGAACTGCACCTTTCACATCTTCGCCTTCATCAAAAAAATCTATTAGACGCATTAGTGTCGGATTATTGTTCCAAGAGGATAGACACATAGTTTAGTGCATATGTATATGAAAAATATTCATTTATCAATTGCTTTAATGTTAACAATATTTTGAAATGAGAAAATTGGGAGACTTTTTCTCAGTTTTCTCGGAATGAGGAATTTGGCGTTTGACGGGTTTCTGAAATAAACGATTCAATTTTGCAACTCCTATTCCAGTTGTCACTTGATTATGCTCCAAGTTTCGCATACGTCTGTGAACACGCTTTTTACGAAACACGCCTTAATGTGAAAGGCACGATTTGCTATTGTCATTCTTGTTTCCTTTCATGGGCTGTTTCACAATTTGCGTAGTTAGTAGGATTTCTTGATTTGTTCTGTATATGTACCGTCTAAGTTTTCATTACTTTTCATTTTCCGGTATTTTTATATACTATCATTATTATTGTGTTCATTAAATTGTTTTTGAACTGAACATTGGCGGAACGTAGCCTGGAACAGCGAAGACGAATCTCCAAATATTACTATTTTGTTTTTCAAGAATATTGAACCTCCTTCACAGGAAAAGGAAGATTTGTAAAATTGTCTCAAGGGGGCTGTCTATAGACTACTGGTTTTCATCGGTTCCTGAAATCAAATGTAAGTCGATTAAGAGTAGATTTGATGATTACTTTGTTGATGGAAACGGTCGAGTTTCCTCGATGCGCTCTCGGCAAAGTCTACGTCACAGAAATTGTGAATGACCTCATGTGTTCGACAAAGTATAGTAAAATAAATCATAATGATAATGTGAAGACTCGTCGACTCGAAATAATAATCACTTGTACTCACGCTCAGACCTTTGACATAGAACTCTTCTAACTTTCAAGGAGCAATGGACGGGATGTCTTACTGCACCATTATCCCAGAAGAATTGCAAGTCATATCGGACTGCGTAACAGACGCCAAGCGTTAGTCCAGTAAACGCTGAGCATTAACTAATAGTCGCTACTTTTTTCTTGAGACTAGGCTTGTCTTTGCACGGTCCGTTCAAAAACGTACGTGTTAAACAGTAGGGCACACTGAGCTCTTATTAACATGCACGGGGCCGGGCTATGATCTTGAATATCAAGTATAAGAGCGCGACTTATAATTTTTCGAACGTTTTGTCCGAGATGCTGCAACCTTCATGGGAATGAGAAGGTACAGTAATGTAGTATCCCGAACATTTCAGTGCGTTGCGTTTGGACGAGGACCGAAGGACGTCTATCGAAATATTGGCAACACTGCCGAGGACACTGCGTTTTATGAACGTAAACTCCGAACTCGGAAGCTTGGTTTACAAAAGAAGAAGGGGTTCTCCTCTCTGGCCATAACAGTAAGTCGCGGTTCCCTCGATTGCATGAATGTCATTGATTTGAAACGCATGTAAGGCAATGATCTTGCTACCAAAAGCTGAGGACTTGTGCGTGCACCAAGTCCAAACAACGCGTTGTTTCCTTCGCCGCTTCAAGGAACGGGTACTGGGGGTACTGGATATCCAAATTGAGGTAGATGTATGATTTGTTTTACCTCTCGCAAGTTGTTTACTTGACATAAGATTCAACGATTGTGGTTCGACCGATTCGTGATTCTCACTGCCTTCGGACGCCACTTTCTTGCTCGTTCTGGTGTTGTCTGAAGTAAACTTGTTTCACTTTCCTATCATTCTCCCTTCTTATCAAATGTTCAAACCAACTCGACGTTATCTTTTTAATGTGATAACATTTCACACCTCCTGAAGTCCGTGATTATCGAACCACGAATAATAAATCGACCGAGATCCTTGCGATTTTCCGCTTCTGGAAGCACTTGATGTACGTTGCGTGTGGCGCTGCCCAGTGGAGTATCTCCCGTATTTGGTGCGTTGTTGGCGATAAGAGTAGCCAAGGGTGTTGAGATTCGTGGATCCATGGTACTCACGTTAAACGTTTTAAATGTGTTTTGCAAATTTTTGCGGATAAACAGCAACAGTTGTTGCATGTGCGACACGCGTTTTTTCGTGGATAAATAGTATCGTGCCAAACCTTTCACCAGCTACCAATTTGTTTTTACTCGTCCTATCTATTAAGGGATTAACGTATATGTATTTGATTTGGATTTGTTTAACGATAAACAGTATTTGTCGTACTTTATAAAATATAAAAAAGACAGTGTGTACAAATTAATAAAATGTTTTTCGGAATATTATAATTAACATGAAATATACAAAAATGAATTCACATGAAATTTGAACATAACATTAAGCCCTGCAGTCGGACTCTCTCTAGTCTGCGTCATGAGACTCAAGTTGTCTCATGTCCCTGCTCACTTCGGTCACTTGTATGGCCAGCCGTTCGCGCGAGATGTTTCACGCGTGTTTGATTAAAGGCGTGGCCAGTGTGCCCAACAAATCCGCTTACATTAACTCAGTATGACCACATTGAAGCCAAGTTTCATTTAGTTACGCATTCTCCAACACTGACTGCCCCTTCGTTAGCTCATTTATATCCTGTCCCCGGATTTTCGATACTTGGCGAACGTCAAGCATTAATTGTGCCTTCGGACGCCACCTTGCTCGTTTTGGTGTTGCCAGAAGCATTTTCTTATCGTAATCCCATCTTATTAAAAGTTCAAACACCTTGACGTTCTTTTCAAGGAATGTGATATATTTATCTCCTCGTTCCTTATAAAATTGTTTTAATGTTTTTTTTTCTTTTTAATTACTAGCCTTTAGAGATAAAACGAAGAATTACTAAGAAGCATACAGAGCATTCGAATTAAGCTACCTGAGAAGCGTTTACCTGTTACGATAGGTCATCGGCAACACCATTGCCTCCGCACCGTCATTGACTGGAAGGTCATAGGGTTCCAGTCCCGACGGAGGCAGATTTTCGACGCTAGCTATATAGCTAGGTCGGGTTGAGCTATTGTGTGTGGGAGAATTTATCGTTCGGCTGTTCTGATCTGTAATTATTCGTGTTTTTACCGATCCATGTCAAACTATGTTGGAGCAGTGCCCTGACATAAAGGAAAGGACACATACCGCGCGTGGGCTTTCATTCCCCACCCTTATTCTCTTCCTCTTCTTACACACACATACACACATGCCCTACACACCACACTGGCCGAGAGCTTAGAGCTTGTCCCGGCTGAGGTGGTGCCCTGCTGAAAGGGGAAACACAAGCTTAGAAAAGGATCTAAGGAACTGTCGTTCTCTCAGAACGTGGAGAGGCCTCCAAGTGTGGCTTCTTGGGGATAAGGACCGAAATTGGCGTTTTATTCCTGTAAAGCAATCGTATTCGACAGAGGCTCATTCAGGATCTTCTCTGGGAGTTACAGGTAGTTTCCTGCCGACTTTCTTTCTTATAAAGAATTTTCCCTTCAGGCTAACTATAAAATGTATTTTAATTTGTTGACTTATAGTTAATATTTATAACGTTAACAATTGATATATAGAATGACTCGTTAGTATAGAAAATTAGGAAAAGCAATTTTTTGAATATGGACTTCGGAGTGGAGGGCATAAGCATCCCTTGGGTGCGCCACTGGGACTCGAAAACCATCAATTGTCTTTTCCCGAACGGGTGGCGACATCACGGTGACAACGGAGCCAAAATTCCTGGGCCGTGAGACAGCCGACGGCACTGGAGGGAGCCCAACTGTCAATGAAAATTTTAGTCCATGCGCAGACGATTGTGTTTTCTATGCTGATCGCCAATAATAGTCACAAACTTCTTTCCTAGTAAGATACGAGTGCAGCAGCTTTTCCAGTGTCATCCCACAAAGCCGGAATGATTGATTGAATGAATGAATGATTGAATGAAGAAAATAGAGCGTCGTATCAGCTGAGCATTTGTGCACTCATTTAAGACTCCCAACAGCAAAATTCAGGACTGACATCTACGTAGTATTCGCTTTAGATTCTCTGTGAATGATCATTCAGCTCGCATGTGGCGAGGACTACTACCTTGCCCCTCGCTTTACTAAGCGCAGCGTCTGCCGAGGCCCTACCGTCAAGCCCAAAGGACAGTACAATGTGTTCAATGTAAAATCTCACACTTTTCTGTGCCAACGTTCCTCTGTAAGCCAAAAACTTGAGCAGAACTCATTTATTGAAGTAACCTTCCGTTAAACTATACTTTTTATGTAGTATTAAGAGTTCGTAAGTTGTGTTAGTAGTGTAAAAAACCGCCTGGTAACATTTCCGCGTACGTGCTTCTCTCGCGCTCCTGCTTGACTACCGGTGAATAATAATCGGGAAGGAATTAGGACAGTGGTAGGGTTTAGGGGCTTCACACGGTTTGCACTAGCCCCCGTGAAGCAGGCAAACTCCTTTTGTAGGAACACATTTCACATGAGATTGTCCGGAAATCGAACCCGGACCGCCTTGGTGAAAGGCAAGCGTCATCGTTCTGAGCCACGAGCTATCTCTATAGAATGTCAATGTATAGAACAGCAGTGCTCGAATGGAAGAAATAGGGCCAAACTGCCCGCCAATGGGTCACGCGCCACTGATCTTTTATTAGATCAGAGCTTATCGCGGACGAAGTTGCTTGCTGTCCCTTTTTCCGCTTGCTTTCCGTACCAATAGGCAGCGTGAAAACGGCTTCTGTAAATTTGTTACCTTACACCGCGTCTCGTCTGCCGTCGTCGGCTTTGGTTTGTTTGTACTCGACAGTGATTTCAGCTATTTTTTTTCGAAATAGCTTCCGACGAGTTGATATAAAACGAAAACCGTCAGATCTAGGCCGTTTATTCAATTGAGAAAGAGAAGTAGATTGTATAATTAGACAAATCGGGTGGTTCGCAAAGCATCATTTGTAAAAATTAAGAAATAGAATTTGGACCACCACTACTTTGTTCGTCACCATGAATATGCCAACTACGCTGATGTGATGATAAACAGAGTTGAAGAGCTGAAATGAGTAGAGGTACCACTTCGTCTCTCCTCCCCTTCCGGCGGGCTGACAACAAGCGGGTCACACCGCTCGCCCGCAGATAAGCACTGGGCCAGGGATTGCTAAGTAGGCTGCTTGCATGAACAGCACTGACCTAGAACACGGTGTTGAGGAGATGCTAGGTTTGCAGCTTTTCGTTCTGCAAGAACCACTGCGCTACGCGTGTTCGTCCAGGCAAAGGAGGCTGAAAATATTCAAGATATTTTGTACAGTTAAAGAAATAATTTTAAAAATACTCAGGGTTGGTTTTTTTCGGGTATGGCAGCTGCTATGGTAATTGGTCTTGTTAGTGAATGTAATGTGCGGGAGTTGGCAATGCTCCTCCGCTACTAGATGGTGAGGCTTACACGCCGGATTGTAGGGAATTCCTTTCTCCGCAGATCCCCCCCCCCCAGCGGGGCACCACCACCACCACAAGCTCCGAGTCTCCGACACTGGTGGTGGTGTAGCGCGTGCAGGTGTAAGAGCGTGAAAGAGGAGAGGATAGGACAATGAAGAGGTAGGTAAGATAGCGCGCGGTCTGTGGCCCGTTGGGTAGGGTATTGGCATGCCGGCATTAATGCTGGCATTTTCCCGGCATTAATAGGAGGAACCACGGAAAACTACCGATCAGAAGCGGCTGGCTGCTAAATTGTGTTAAGGTCGCTTTTTAACAATTTGGTCATATAGCAACCACTGATATTTCTTTAACTGTAGGGGTACCGGTAGGAAGAACACGTGTAAGGTCAACACGAACACACACACACATCCATGCCCGATTCGATCCCGCTATCATTCGAGCAGAAGTAGCCTTAGCAGCCTCGGCTATCCAGGCCGATCTCAAGGCAGCGAGTGAAATCGACCTAGCTATCTAACTAGCGCCGAAAATCCACCACACTAGGGCCTCCCGGTCGGAGTCGCTACAGAGACTAAATGCTATGCTAAAGCGCTGAGCTAAACTCAGCCGGTGCTTAAGATAGATAAAAAATTATTGTATACACATTTTTACTAATATTAAAAATTATAAATTTTACCATAAAGAGAGACTGCAAGTAAATAATGAAAGAAAACAACCACCACTTTCGAATCTCGACATGCCCTTCTTCGAGCCCGGCTTCGAGCCATTCTTCGCTTCCAGGCGCTACGTTGTCTGGATGTACATTGGACAGATAATGCAAAATGTTTAAAAATGACAGTAAATCTAAATATATATATATATATATATATATAGAGTTTCAAAATACCGATAAATACATTTTTCCGTTTTCTGATTTGCCGGTTTTTATTCGAAGAAGCGCGTAAAGGAAAAAAGAAATGAAGTCGATGAACGATAGACGGGAGGTGTAATCAGAAAATTACATAATACTGCTCTAGATAAGTCTGACAGAAGTCTTCCTTTTTCAATCCCGTGTGAGTCCAG